CATTACTGCCTCGAAACCATAATAATTTGAAGTTCACAGAAAAAATAGCTGTTAATCTGGTTAGCCCTTATTATCCACCATACTAAATGGGCAACTAATAGAAGTAAAAGTGTCTTACAATCTAAGATAACAAGAGGTAGCACTAGCAACAAACACCGCCACTTTGATATTTTGCCTTTTTCAGGCCCATGATCGTTAATACTAACCACAAATTGTATCGAATACATAAGTGTTATTAGAATGGCTTCTTGCACACATTTTTATATATTTTGGTAACTGTAGAAAAGACCAGTGACAATGTTATTCGTTTACACACTGACTAATATTGAGCATGGCTGTTAATCTTGAAGTAAATTTTAAGCCTAAACAGGATAGATGTAAAGTGGTTGAAAATTCAGTCAATCTTGTTCTATTTACTATGAAACAGATAAAATTAATTGCCAACATTAATTAGAAGTCGGTAGCTTGTATTTTTAGGTTAAAACATACTTCCCGTGTACAATAAAAGTGTTAATTTCTGTTCATAGAATGAGTTGTCTTTTAAAACCTAGTTTCCCAATTGGATTTACTGTTTTAAAAATTGTTTAACATTATCATATTTAATATTCCCGTAAGTATAGCTTACTTTCAAATCATTGAACTTTATCATCATGGTTACACCCAAGAATCAGTCAACTTAAACACCATTGATAATTGAATTGACAACTGAATTACTTGTTAAACATCACTTGGAAGGACGAATTTTTGGCAGTAATTTAGATAAACTGAGTACTTCTCAGTATCATGATCATCATATAAGGGACTGTCATGTCTAAAAATTGAATCATTTCAAGATATATAAAGTGCATCGAAGACAATTATCAGTGTAATAGGGAAAGCAATGAATTATAATTATATTTAGATGAAATAAATTTTTGAAACTTGCTTTAATGTTAAACAAATGAAATTACCTGACTGGCTGTAAGATCTGTAGTGTTGTAAGACAATTTACTAGGGGTTATAGGGAAACATCTTTAAAGTAAGCTTACCATGCGTTATTCATTCATTTCATGAATAAAGGGCCGGCATTAAATTTCGCATCTTCTTTAAGTTATACTAAAAGCTCATCCAAAAACCCAAGTCTCGTAAAGTTCAAATACTTCCGATTGGAATCAGTCGGAAAAATAGATAAAATCATCGTAGATACTCTCACAAGTCATTTGAAGCTGCTACACTTCACAGCAGAATACAAAGAACAACTGGATTCGAAAGAATGATATTAGAGTAGACAAAAGTGTATGGAAGGTGACGGAATTTTAAAACTATGGTTGGTCGAATTGATCTAAACATAAAAGACGTGAGTGTGTTGACACATCTGGGTGACTGTCACCCATTTTCAGCCATTTCATCAAAACTCTGCAACTATTGACTCCTATGGTCCCAACCAGTTAGTCTTCATTTCTCTACATTGCTCAGACCAACACTTACAAACTTCACAGACTAGTGTTATATCTTGATTTGACCACTCTAAGCTATTTTCCAACCTAATCTAACTTCTGTTATTAATACACCTCGGCGTAGGCTTCGACTCATCACAGAAATTAGTATTTTTATCTACCCTGTCGGTCAACGTCATGATTAACTTTCTTCTAATCAGCAAAACAACCAAACTAAGGATAGCTTCCGTAGGTTGTCCTACTTACCCCCTGTCACTATTCTTCAAATGAACCACCTCCAAAAAGGAATCTAACTGCAAGTTTTGATCAGGCGAAAATATATCAAATAGTCAACAAGTGGCTGATTCCTTTTCTCAGTATTATTCTCCTCGTTTTAAAGTTGAACGAATAAAAGGTGGCTAACATAACTGTTGATATAAATTTACGTTTATGCCAGTTTTGAACTACACTGCTTTAATCACTAAGGTTATTACAACTGTTCACTTTAAATTCAGCACATACAGTGTGATAAACGGTTGAAAAATAAAACAGTTTAAGGGTGCATAATGAACAGATTCTTCAAAACAGTCTATGGTAATGATTCAGTACTCATAAGTAAATTCATATGTATAGATTTTAATCATCAGTATAGAATACCATTTGTTTATTCACCTGAAACATTTACTTCATGGTTAACAGGTGCTAAAAACAGTTAGAAGGTAACAGCACACCTGTAATTTGTTGAAATAACAACATATACATAAATTCTTCAAGACTATAATATAAAAATGTGAATTATTTATTTGAGTGAGTGGAAAAAAGGCAGAATATTGTCAGAAAAAGTTCTATTACATGTTTTTTATCAAGAAAAAAGGATCTTCATAAGACTGTTAATTACAAACAGGTGTTTTTGAAGGACGAAATATTGGTAAAGAGATTATTGTAGAGATGAAAGGCGTACACTTCGATAATGCATATAATTTTCGAGATTATTACAGGCGAAATGTCTTTCAAGGCGATATAAATATATACAAAATGTAGAATCTAAGAATCAGTAGTATATGAATCTTTTTTTGCATACATGGAATCCTATTGTAAAGTGGTATAGATGAACCATTCTTCTAATCCAACAGTTATGCTACCGATTACCAACTAAGCAGGTAATAACCTAAACAACACTGCATAATCAATAATACTCATTCACGTAATTCGCTGTCTTATGTTGTTTTATTCCTAACTGCGGTAAAAGAAAAGCAAAAGGCGTTGTTATGACACGTAATTTCCTGTGGCTATACAGGGCCGAATAGCTCGAACTGTGCTGTAACTACAAGTATCATTACAACAATTGATACCCGTGGCTATCGTCCCCCACTGGCATAAAAGACAACGCTCTGGCGTTTTAAACGAAGGGTATTAAGCTCGAACCCCAGTGGGAAGAACATCACTCACTTGGGTGCAGGTACGTTCAGCTAACAAGTCCTAAATAGGGCGAAACGCTTGTCCTGCATTCCTCTTCTAGTCACCAAGGTCAAGACAACAACAGCCAACTAACGGTGAGTGAACATAACTTCACCGACTTTGTTTATAATTCTTTGACATTTTGATTAGGTAGCTTTGAAACGTTCCTGTAGATAGTTTGAAATACATTAGTTATTCGGTGTGGACTAACAAAGTATATTTGTCTTCATTTTGAGTTGCTTGGTGCAACACTGTTAATAGTAGAACTAACCCGAACATGGAAACTCGATGTAATAGTAGCAGATTCGACTAGAGTTCAAGTAATTTCTATTGTCCATTAATCTAAGGATCAAAAAAGGAACTAAAAACGAATCGTAAAATCGGCCACACCATTAGGTCACGAAGATAAGAGTGGAAAATCAAGGACTTAACAGATGTGGGTGTGTCCCAATAAGAATTTTCATGGTTGATCTTATAATCCAGAAGGTTTTAGTCAAAACATATGACCTCCCTAAATGGTGATGTCAAGAGTTCAGAAAGATAAACTATGTCGTACATGACATTTACATTGGTGGGACTACTCATAGGGCCAACATATGTCGGTGACTGAATCGATAAATCGAACTCTTTCGCTTGACCAGGTCAGATATCTTGCTTGATACACGAGTAAAAATGTTAATCAGAATATCAAAATCAAGTTTACCGTAATAAATCTCACGTTTTAAACTAGAATAAGCGTAAATTGCACAGTTTCATCCACTGAAATGGATTAGCTTCAGTGAACAAATGATAACGCTGTTTTCAGAGGAGTGAAAAAGCATACTGCCTTCGATTTCGTGAATCTAAGCATCACGCTACATTGACTGTCATTGCTGACTTCCAAATGGTTATAAAAAATAAGCACATTAATATTATAACGAGTAATTCTAGAACCTGCTGTAGCTGGCTACTGCAGAAGTAAACAATTAGGTCTCTTTGTTTTATAAAGACCTGACTACGCAGCTAATTAATTGATTAATCTGAGTAGTTTTAAAGACCACCCTGACAACCACTGAAACAACCAATCAGAGGTGTGTATCTTACGAAAGAACCACTTTTTCAGTTAAAATAAAGAAAAGTAACCGGTTATTTCCATCCTTGCTACGTTGACCTTTAAAGTCACTCGTTATTATGATGGAAGTTATGTGGTAGCTATTCGATTCACTTCTTTATAACCTTAACTAGTGTTTGTGTCCAAGTTACTTTGGAAGCCACTCCAACCAGGAATAAATTAGCTAATGGAGTTTCTTTATTTCAGCTGGTGTGGTAGTTTTTCATAAAACACAGAACTCTTACTTGAGTAGTTTCTAGGGTGACTTTTAAAGTCACTCTTTTTCATGACTGACTTTTAAAGCTAATTTTGAATGTGAATAATAATACACTCGTGAAACCTTCATAAACTCTAGAACAAAGTCCAATTAAGTAATATCTTAGGATATTCATAGTTTGAGCGGCGCATATAACAACGCAACGTATCATAATCCATAAAGAAGAACTTATTTCGTACACAGAAATCAATAATTAGTGACTTCATGCAGTTAGTTCAGAACCACTAATCAAACAGAAATCATTAAGAGGCTAATAAGATGCTCCTGACCTGAGCTATACATTAATAACATAAAATAAGATTTCAATATAATGTCCTTCTAAAAGAACAACAACAAAGTGATCGATCATACCTATATGAAATTCACACTTTCCTTTATTCACCCTACTGAACATATATATATCTTACAAATATGTTGTGTTTACTAACTCCGAAAAAGTTTGTGTTAGTCTCCTGTAACTAACTGGTTTGAGCAGTTGACTCAACTATCGGTTCATGTGTACAAAAACCGCTCTATTAACTGAGGTAACCAGCGCATACTAAGTATGGCTCATTACCTAATGCGCGTGGTTGCTGAATGTATTTCGATTTTGAAGTATACACTAACGCCAAAGCCGTTAAATATCAGTCTAATCTTCTCATTTCTGACTGAATACAAAAGAAAGCATAACTAATAAACAGGTAAAACTCTTATCTACATGATAATCCAATCCATAAATCATCATCCTCTTACAGTACGTTTTGCTTATCTTTCCTTATAGCTTCCATTTACTTCATGAAGATTCAAAAAAACCGTTGAACTTCTTAAATGAACAATTAAAATATGACAATAATTATAAGAGAAGAAAAAGAAATCTAAAAACAAAGTGTACAAATGTAAGACAAAAAAATATTAAGAAAGATTATATTTTGTTTTTCGTGTTTCTTGTTTTTGCATTCGCAAAGTGATTTCATTTTGTTTAATTGTGTTATTTCAATGTTCAATTGTTTTTTAAAAAGTTACTAGTTACCAAAAATCTTATTGTTATTCAATTTTGTTGGTATTAAAGATACTCAATGCTTTTGTAAATAAATGTTTATGAATATTACTTTTTGTCTTACAACTGATGAACTCCGTAAGACCAAACTATCTCGATGTAAAATTATTTCGGCACATAATAAGTTGCCTTGAATCTAGCGCTAGTTATATTTCATTACTAAAGTGTGTCTACCATGTAAATAAAACTTACTGTAACTGGGATAATTGAAATCTTACAATCAGGTTAGAAAATAAGAAAATTTACTGATGCTTTGTTCATATTTGACTCCTGAACTAAAGCATCGAAAAGAATGTCTACTTACTCCTGATATTACGCACCTCAGCCATCATGCGGAAAATTTGATCAACAGGAATCCATCTGTTCTGAGCTCTTGCTATGTAAATGCTACATTGGAAAACATTTTCTGTAAGTTGACGTTGATAAAATTGTAACACGAGACATTTTTCTGTATTCACATGTAGATGGTACACATTGGTCTGTCAAAAATCTGTTCAACCAAAGACACGTTGAATTAGATATTCTCCCTAAGAAAATGATAATTATTGTTTGTCCCTTCCGTTCCTAGTGGAATGTTGGGCTTCAGTTGCACGTAACTATCTCACTCACTTCCCTACAGTGTTTCTAACCTCCATCCATGACTCCCCAAAAGCTTTCATTTATTTCTCACACCATCTCCTCAATGTCAACAACGGACACCCAACTCATCCTATCCCATTTGGCTTCCACTTAAAAACCTGACCCCACCTGGCACCTAATGTTCCAAAACCGTCCTTAAAGTGCATGTCCAATCCAACCCAATCCATCTCTACTGTCTTCTGCATTTGTGGATGGCAATAAGTTCTTAGTTGATCCGTTGCAAGTCATAGTTCCCACTTGTCTATTCATATTGTTCTGACCACCTGAACTGATCTTCGGTATCAAGTGAGCGTAGAGCACAGCTGTCGATGATGTATGTCTGCAGTTTGTTGGAAATGCTGTTCGTAACACGCTAAGTCCCTCAACCATCAGGAAGAAACACTAACTTACTTCACTGATATTGGTGTCGGAAATCCAGATATTGTTCACCTTTGTCCTGAGCGCAGTAAAGTATAGTAGATCTCCACATGCATCAGTGCAGATTAATAAAACCCTGTCTCGCTGTCTTTGCGATCCCGATTTTGACGTTCTCACCTGTAACACCTGTAAGTGAAACGATGCTGTTAGGTCAGGGTAGGTGAAAGAGACTACTTCCTTTAGGTTTCTCCCGATGATGGTGATTGGTGCTTGTTATTCATGCTGTTGTTGGTTGGGTACCTTCATCACCTCCATCTTCTCTACTTTCACTTAAAATCCGGTTTTCACTGCCTCCCCTGTTTTGTCAACTTGTTAGTTTTTGCCTGTAGGTCTTCGAGTTTGTGCGACAACAAACATAAATCATCGGCAAAATACATATCTTATAGGATATTTTCATCAGTCTAGTCAGGGTATGCCCATCTTCTCTCTCCTCATGGTTCGCTGCATGATCCAGTCCACTACAATCAGAAAGATCATGGTAGATAGTAGGCAGCCTTGTCTTAATCCTGTCTCCACTTCAAAGGCATCACTGAGCTTTCCTTTGTGGATCACCTGGCATGTGGCGTCCTCATATAACTGTTGAATGAGACTGATAAAGATTTGTGGCACTAAAACTGTAGTGTTGAAGCAACTGCCAAGTTACTTCACGGTCGACGCAGTCGAAGGCCTTTTCGAAGTCGATAAAGTTGAGGTAGAGAGTTGGCTGCTATCCTACGCTCTGTTCTATTATGTTGCGTAGCGTTGTAATTTCGTCCGCACATGGTTTGTTTTTCCTGAAGTCAGCTAACTTATTCACGTCGTAATTCTGAATCCAGCGCACTTTTAAGTCTCTCCAGGATGATGTGGCTTAATATTTCGCTTGGGGTGGACACTAGCATGATTCGCACCAGTTCTTGTGAGGAAATGCGTCGTCCATCTTTGGAAGTTTGACAAGTTGGTCTTTATTCGCAAAGAATTTCTGATGTAACTCAACACCAAAAGACCATGCTTTTTTATAAACTATAGATACAGAGTCATAATCCTCTAAGGGAACTCCTCTTAGGTAACTAGCTCACCAGTTACTGGCCGGTCCTAAGCCCGGATATACAGGGGAGGTTGAGCACACGGCTAGCAACCCTACCCTGAAAAACCAATGTAATCGCTAAAGAAACTTCAAGGCACAAATAAAATATAAAACATAGAATTAAACTTATTCCTTGCTGGAATCGGAGAGGCGAAATGACGCCAGTTGGTGAAAGCCTGCCTTCAGGAAGCCAATTAGCTAATGTGTCTTCTCTTCTCTCGATGTTATCTTGGAAGAGATCAACACAGATGAAACCGGAAAAAAAATGATGAAGGAAGTCTTATTACAAAAGAAAAGAAACAAAGGAAACAATGGGTTGGCCACTCCGAAAAACACTTGAATAGACCACCACCAGTGCTTCGTCTAAAAATATCACATGTAGGCATAGAACTACAAATGAACACAAACCTTCCGACGAAAGTCGAAGTCCTGAATGTCATGGAGCTACTGAAATGCGGGAAAGCAGCAGGCCCAGATGTAATCCCGCCATAAGCACTGAGAATGGATGTACGGACCACAACGGAAATGCTCACACCACTACCGCAGATTGGAAGAAAGACCGCCTTATCAAACTTCCAAAGATGGACGACGCATTTCCTCACAAGAACTGGTGCGAATCATGCTAGTGTCCACCCCAAGCGAAATATTAAGCCACATCATCCTGGAGAGACTTAAAAGTGCGCTGGATTCAGAATTACGACGTGAATAAGTTAGCTGACTTCAGGAAAAACAAACCATGTGCGGACGAAATTACAACGCTACGCAACATAATAGAACAGAGCGTAGGATAGCAGCCAACTCTCTACCTCAACTTTATCGACTTCGAAAAGGCCTTCGACTGCGTCGACCGTGAAGTAACTTGGCAGTTGCTTCAACACTACAGTTTTAGTGCCACAAATCTTTATCAGTCTCATTCAACAGTTATATGAGGACGCCACATGCCAGGTGATCCACAAAGGAAAGCTCAGTGATGCCTTTGAAGTGGAGACAGGATTAAGACAAGGCTGCCTACTATCTACCATGATCTTTCTGATTGTAGTGGACTGGATCATGCAGCGAACCATGAGGAGAGAGAAGATGGGCATACCCTGACTAGACTGATGAAAATATCCTATAAGATATGTATTTTGCCGATGATTTATGTTTGTTGTCGCACAAACTCGAAGACCTACAGGCAAAAACTAACAAGTTGACAAAACAGGGGAGGCAGTGAAAACCGGATTTTAAGTGAAAGTAGAGAAGATGGAGGTGATGAAGGTACCCAACCAACAACAGCATGAATAACAAGCACCAATCACCATCATCGGGAGAAACCTAAAGGAAGTAGTCTCTTTCCAACAAACTGCAGACATTCATCAACAACTGCCTACGCTAGTTATTGAAGCTCAGATGGCCAGAAAGAATAAGCAGCAATGAACTCTGACTGGCTTGCAACGAATCAACCAACAACCTATCACTCAACAAATATTCAGGGGGAGAAAATGCAGAGGCATTGGGCATACACTGAGAAGGCCAATTCGTAACATCTCGGGCCAGGCCAGGCCAGGCCATCGAGTGGAATCCATGTGAGGAACGACGAGTTGGGCGTCCGAGGCGAGGGGGACATTGAGAACATCATGTGAGTAAGAAATGAAAGCTTATGGGCAGTCGTGGCACCAGGTTGAAATGACTGTAGGGAATAGAGTGGGATGGAGGCGTACTACTGAAGCCGTATGTTTCACTAAGTACCCAAGGGAAAGATAAATATAAAATATATAGTTTAGTCAAAGCATGCTTCAGTGATGAATTTGATATACTTTCAGAGGAAATAACACCTTGCTCATGATATGATAATGCTTTGTTTGATCGTACCTACATTTGTTAGATCCGTTCATAGAACAGCTTTTTCTTTATATTTACAGAATCCGTTAAAACCAAGGAATATTTCACTAAAACATATCAGTTTTGTGAGACAACTTGTATGGAAGTAGTTACCGACTTAGACATTGAGTTGCTGAGTGACCATCTGTGTGACAGTCTCCGTGATAACTCAAATCAGTTTCGACGAGTATTAGGGAATAAAAGTATAAACCATTCCTAACTACTTACTAACTGGTTATTTTACTTCTTTACATATTAGATTTGCATTAAATATCACTTGATAGTTGTACAGTATTCAAAGATTTCAATTTTTCCGCTTTTATAATCTGAAAATGATTTTCATCTCGAAAAACATTTATATGAAGAAACACACGATTGATCAGTGAGCAAGTACTTAAATATCTCAATCCATGTTTCACCAATCTAAGGCAATGTACGATTCAATGACGCACTCTTAAAAAATATTCACAAATGTTGTGATATTATGACTTGTAATCCACTGTCGTTGGTACGACGTTCTTTGTTGAAACATGCACTCCTGTACACATACTTTCATTGAGTCGCTGTTTTCATTTTTGATATTATTAACGGATACTGGCTAGCGGCAGAATATAGGACACGCTGGAGGCATGTGCACAACAGCTCTTATGCTAATACTGGTAGGTGAATTCAGTTCAGTCGATGATGAGAGCCTAAAGACTTTAACATCGAAAATGCGTGATAGTCCTTGCAGAAGGAGACGCTACCGTGACTCATTGTCGTAGGAAAAAAAGATGTGGCATCTGGTGCGACTGATTCTATGTTTGAATTTCAGTGACAACAGAATCACTCAGTGGGAGGTACGTACATCTAACTGACTACTCCCAAATAAGATGAAATGCATGTCATGGATCCCATACCTGATCACTATCCAGCACTGGTATATGTAATTG